TTTTTCTTCTAGACTGTTCAAATGGTAAAAATATTCTGAAAGCAAGAACTTTTTTAAATGGGTATCAAACATACAGCTACATCAACACATGTTGCAGGCTTCATTTACACCGTGAAAGACAGTGCCTTCCAAAACTTGCTTTTAAACTCTAGTTCTTACTGTGTAAGCTACCATCCTGCCACAACTACCCTCTCGGTGCACCTTCCTTGGAACTTTGCTGGAGGGTTAGCTGTTTGCTAGATGAACAAATAGAACTGGAACAGAAAACAGCCTTTTTCATGGACAGTTTCACTTTGGCACTACTAAGGCTGTAGTAGGGCACGTGTATTACATACATTGCACAGCTTCATCCTCCTAAGTCACTCCCAACCCTGCAAAGAAACTGGAGGCCAGGTTCTGATTTTCCATCTTCCTCTACAGTTTTCCTTTTGCCAGGTGCTGTAAAGTGTTTTGAGGAAAAACAAAACATAGCTGCCAACTCAGTAAGGTAAGTACACAAAGGAGGTGTGGCCTCTGCAGATCTCTATAAAGGTGGGCAGCTTTGGGGAATGGGATTATTGCCTTGTGCATCAGGAAACACAGGCAGGAATATGGCCAAAGTGACTAGAAATATTTAAAAACAAATGTGTAATCTCAGGACTGAGGAACACCAGCAAGTAAAGAACCATTTCACCATCTGAGACAGTCCGTGAGGAAGGGAATTTAAAAAATTAACTATCTGCAGCAACATGAGACTTTTTAATTACCTGAATGAAAGTGTAGGAAGACCATAAGAAACAGTCAATTTTCACCTTGATCAAAAGAACACATTTCTTAACAGGAAACAGCCTGTGATGAAAATCTAGGAAGCTTCTCGCAAGGAACTACACATATGACTGTTATTTAAACCACATTTTGTAAAAAGAAATGTTTTGTAAAAAGAAATGTTTTCTATTTACTCTAGCTTACGTGGCCTGGACACTTTTGAGTAGACTGTGCAAGTAAGACTATAAAACCCTGACAGGAATTAGTAAATGAAACCAGGAACGCCTTCACTAAACACAGTTGCATAAAATAAAAGTGAAAACAGCGTGAGCAAAATGTCACCCACTGTAAATAAAAGCAATACCAAAATAAGCCTGCTGATCTGGGTGTTGGGTTTGTTTGTTTGTTTTAAGAAATGTTCTATCCTCAGCATTTACATCTGATGATACATACCTGTAAGGATACTCACACAAGTGAGATGCATGGGTGGGTGAACAGGCACATCACTGCCTGGTCATCTCTGGTGGATCTGGAGCTCTCTCAGTGCTCTGGGCTACAATAAAACATGCAGCAACACTCTGATTTCAGGAATAGATCCCACAAAGTCTTTCTTTACATTTGGATTTCTGCCTTACGTTCTGGCAAGGTAAATAGAGACATAACTGTAACTAATGCTAATGTTGCAGTAGTAAAATATTGGGTAAAAAATAGGAAAACCAGACGCACTTACCCATAAGAATGATTTAATTAAAGTTTCCACTGTTACAAAGTAGGTATGTTTCACATCATAAAGAACTTTTCTGTCATGAAAATTATTTTTTTAAGGGGAGAGAGAATTTTGTTTGCAGCAAGCTGACTTTACTGGTAGGCAATTAAATATTTCTTTGGATTGCTGTTCAACATTAATTACTCATTGATGTGGAAAAAAAGGCTATAGTCTTGCTGTGGATTCAGAGGCTTGCAGCTGGGTGCATCTAATTCCAAGAAGCAAAAGGGAAAAAAAAAAAAAAAAGACCTAGAAAGAGTATTATAATTGCTGTCATACGAAAACCTGCTTCAGTCCAGATGTAGAAGTGGATACCACAGAAATGTTAACATGCAGCAGCTTGCTGCAGGGCAGTGACAATCTTCCACATGTTTGCAGCATTGACATATTACATGATCCTTCTAGAAGCCCTCCAGTTTGTTTTCATTTTCCCAAAGCTCCTACAGAAAATGCAAATCTACAATAATCTGAGGTTTTGGATAGTGTCACAGACACCTCCGTATAAAACTTGGATCCGAAGCTTGCATACCTAACCAAGGCTGTCAACTCTGTACTTTCCCAAATAATTCCACTGAAAGTGATTAAATTAGTAGTGTGAGTCAATGTTAAAGAACTGCTTCCTAATTTCAGGTTTTCCCCTTCAGTGTACAAACAAAGCTCATTGCTCTGTGATGAGCCAGGGAGTTGGAGTGAGGACTGAGGATCAACAGAAATGTCAGGTGTCAGGAGTCACATCTTCAGAAGTTCAGATCTATTTATCAAGGGAGTCAATCCCCAGAAAAGAGAAAATAGTAATAAAATATAGTAAATAGAAAATAGTAGCATCCTATATGCAGGAATTCCTACTGCAGTCAGGAGCAGCTTGCATGCAGCAAGATTTCAGAAGTGGTTATCATAGCTAAGTTCCTTTCTTCTCCCCAAATTTTATGAATTTCACCCAAGTCTATATGGCTTCAGCCTTAATGAAAAACAATGAAATTCTGGGATGATTTAAGCTGGAACAACCTCTGAGTGACTCATCTAATCCAAATCATTCCATTTCAATCCAAATTGATTTCATTATCCCTAAGTCATTTATTTAAATAAATGGAGTCAGAAGAGATCACAGAATTTAATTATTGGAAACATTGGCTGGCACTAAGTTTGGAATTAAAATTATGCACTTTGAAGTCCTTAAGTGCACAGTATGACAATACCAGTTGTCAAGGAACATTTTTTCCTTAGTTAAAAAAGACAAGCTGAGCATAAAATGGAAGAATGAAACCTCGAATTATCCATGTAAGATAATTTCTTCCTGCCAACTGGAGAGTTACTTACTTTAATTCTCTTACCAAGTCATTCACTTTTCCAGGCAGTGATAGGTGCAAGAACTTGGGGACAAATTTCCTAAAATGTAAGAATATGAAAAGACAACAAACAAATTCTGACTGACAGGATTACGTATATTGAACAGCATTGGCCTCACTACTGATGCTCTAGGAAAGCAAGTTGTAACTGTTCAAGGGTTAAGACTCCAGACTGGGGTAGACACCTGTCCTTTCCTTAGAGAAGACAATCAGGCTGGTCAGACATCAGTTGCCCCTGCTCCTCGTCACCTTCTTGTCTGTGTGTATGGAACCAGCAAGATTTGGGAATGATTTTGCATCTACTTTGCTACAGATCACATGATGTTCCAAAACTGAACTATATCTCCACTCAACTTTCTCCTCTCCAAACTGAAGATTAGTCTATTTTTAGACTCCCCTCATAATGCAACTCCTACCTCTCCTGGTTCAGTTTAGTTGCCTTTCTCTGGCTCTTCTTTACCCCTGCTACATCCCCTTGGAGCTATCTGCAGCAACGCAGTGAGAGATCCTACTGGAGGGCCATATCATCATTCTACCAGCCAAAGTAAAGGCTTTGGTTCACTCACTGATTGTTCAAAAAGATGGAGGAAAAGGAAACTAAGGAGTTTGGCTTGGCAATCTGGAAGCAGTTGCTGGCACAGCAAACCAGCAAGTAGTATTGTACATGCTGTGTCCCTACAATGACTGTGCATTACAGCTGCTGAAATGGCTGGAGTCCATCCTGATGGGAGATTTAAGGGGGCACACAACACTGAACACGACTCCAGAGAAACACCTGGGGAGGAGATGGTTCAACTGCTCATCTTGTACATTACATTACTATTGCCTTAAATCATTACATTATCTATACATAGAACAATCCTTCATCCACAGAGGAACCTGCTTTGTGGGTGTTGCTGGTATTCATATTTGTAGATTATTGTATTTTGAAAAGAGCTGCACTTTGTCCAAACACCTTAAAGAAGTATCCAGATTTTCCTGAGCAGACAGCAGTTTTAAGAGGAGGTGTAGGGCAAATGCTCTGTTAAAGCTAATATATATATATATATATATGTAGCAAATTGTACATCATATTATTTGCTATAGATACGGGTGGTTTTCAGTTTTTCCTCTTGACAATTTTAAGTTTGCTACTTTCACTCACTGTCCCACAGAACACTGTATGCTCCAAAGCATTCCAAAAGATCATCTTCTACACTTAAAAAATCATTTTAGTATAATTTCTATACATCTTGCACCAAGCAAGGGATTATTAGTACAAGTAGCAGAAAAGAGGAATGTTTATTTTATTGCACTCACCTCTACAGCAGTAGTCAGAAGTTGCAGAAGGAAAATACTGAAGCCTAAATCTCTCCCCAGACCAGTTTGTTACACAAAGCTGTTTGGGGCAACATCTGACATTTGGCTAGAAGAATTACATGTAGACATGCAAGCCTCAAATCATCAAAAACGTATCAACAATTTAATGTATCTTTTTTTTAATTATACAAAACTCCCCCCCAAATTATTCAAGTATTAACAACTGATACATTTCATATAAAACCAATTCCTCTAGGCAAAACAGTATAGGAATGTATCCTTCCTTTTTAATTAAACATTCTCATTGAAAATTAGAATATGTATGGATTTGACTAATTATGCTAAATGGTGTTTTGTCCTGGTTTCCTAGGCAATCTCTCCACACCTTTGATAGCTACAAGGCACTTCCAATACATGTGTACAAAGCTGTCTACACGAGCCCTTTGAACAACAGTACTGTTTAGTTTCATCTGTACTGAGTTAAACAACACTGAAATTATGTGTAAACCATCAAAGACATTCACAATGAACATGAGAACATTACAGAATGTACATGGCTTGGAGACCTCACTCCAACTCTAACCTCAGCAAACAAATTCAGAGTCATTATCATTTGCTGCTTCTACCTGCTTAAGGGGGAAGGGATTTACCATGAGTCTGGAAAACATCTGCTATGAACAAGGGCTTTACAGTGCTAAGGAGGCAGGGCTGTGAGCCTGGGAGCTCTAACATGATAATCAAGTGAGGCAGGGGACTAATCCCCCTCTTGTAGCTGTTGTGACTGCTCTAACTCTCCTTGGTTGTGGAAACAGTGCTGCCTGCTACTCAGCTCTTCTCCAGCTCATTTACTGTTTAGAATATGCAGATTGGTCTCCACATGTTTCTTCTGGGGAGGAAGATGGTTGGCCAGGTTCACAAACTTCCCCTGCATCCTGACTGTCAGCTTGAGTAGCTGAAATAAAAATGAAGAATAGAATGATGTCAAACATGAACAAGCCAAAAACCCCAAACCCTGTGTTTCAGTTTGCATTATCCCTGGTATCAATCACATTTCCAGAGGTAAATTCAATGCAAAATGACTTTTGTCAATTGTTTGGTTTTCAAAGGTTTTTTAGACTCTGTCCTCAGATGCTGTACTGGCTGTTTAACCTAACATACCTTGTTTTTATTTTGTCAAACCTCCATAACATTGCTAGTCAATACTGCATGAAATTGTGTAACAACATGGCCTAGACTTCACATCACTGCTGTAAACCTAACTGGCTTCAGTCATTCAAATTACTCAGTCATTCAAGTTACTCACTCAAATCTTTCTGGTAGCAGCTTCTAGCCTTGAAAAGTCTTTTCCAGTCATGACTTCTATGTATATATATTTTTATTTTTTTTTCCAATTTGTCTTCATCTCAGACTTCCTTTGGGGCAGAAATCACAGACATTTCTTCTCACCAGTTATCCCCCTGCTAGAGTTTTCTATAGCCATTTGCCTGCAACAGTTTTTCCAGAAAGCCCATTTCACCTCAATTCTGGAGGTCTAATTACAAGTTTGAGTCAGTTCCTTTCATGGACAGAAAAAAGATGTGATGCAATCCTAACACATCCCTATGCACTAAGTGTTACAGCTTCTCTCCTTTTCCAGGCATCTTGAATACCATAATCAAAGAATCATCAGTTTTACTGTAGCTTCCCTCTAGATCTGCATCTTCTGCTGGCAGGCTATTTTGTATATGATCTAATGCAGAAGTAGCCCCCCTCTCTGTGTTACAATTGCAAATTCCTACATATCCTGGAGGATAAATGCTATGTAGTGGAATTAATTTGTAGTTTCTCCATAGCACTAAGAAAACTGGATAGCTCTCTAAGCAGCACAACACACGATGCATTGTTTCCTATGGCTTTGTGCCTGCGTTGTAATTTGCCTAGTATGTAGTAAGGGCTGAGGTCATCAGATGGCAGTATGGTCTCTGGGGGGTGCTCTCATGACCTCCCTTCTCCATCCAGTTGCCTGTTTTCGTGATTGTTTGGCCATTACCACTTTGCTCTACCACTACAGGACTGGATTTTCTCTGTTCTCCTCCCACAGTGTCACTTCTCTCCACGTCCCTCGTGTTTGCCTGCTACTCCCAGTTCCTTCCCATTCTCATGCAAATAGCTGCAGCTCCCAACAGGTTCTCTGCTGCTACATTATCCCCCAGATCTTTTGTCCCCTCGAAATCACAAACCCCATTAATCCTCACATACATTTTCTGGTTTGCCTGCCAGCCCTCAGTTCCCTCTCTTCCCCCCAAACTCAGCCCATATTATTTGATTTCCAGCACACTACTGGCTCCTACATGCTGCATTAAATTCCTAATGCCTTTGTCAGTATCTTAAAACAACTTTACATATCTACATTGTCTGTGCAAACCCCACACTGTCCTATTCTTCACACTCCCCTTGTCCAACACATCTCCTGTTGACTCCTCTTTTGCCTTCCAGCCAGACAAGAAGCAGGTATGCTTGGACTGCTCTGGAGATGCGTGCCCACTGCTGGGCTGACTGGCAGGCACTTGGTTGTTGGCCAAGGTACACACACGTCAGTCAGGAGCTGAGTGCAAGCTGACAGCCAGCCAAACACCATGACATGGCTGCAAACAAACCATTTTGTGGGAGGCATCTGTTTCTCCTGCAGATCAATACTGTGTAGGCCTGTGATCACAACAAATACGCTTGGCTGAAAATAACTAATCAGTTGAAAAATTAAGAGAGGACTGACATTAACAGACAATGAGACTGCACGAGCCTTATGTTGTTGAGAAATCAGGCCAAAAAAACCCAACTTATATTCTGTCCCACATAACCACCATCCACATCTTTTCAATTCAGATGAGGTAATGAGACTTCTCTATTTCTCCTCCCTCTTACACAAGAGATTTGACTTTTCACTGGGTGATTATTATAATGTGTCTCAGTCCATTTAAAAAAACAATTATTCTGTTGTTGAAAAACAGAAATAAAGTCATATTTATCTGAATTTTCAAAAAGAATTTTATATAAAACTGGCTATTCACTCATCCAGTGCTAGTGGTTAATACTCTGAGCAGCTCTACCCTCTTGTGGTCACAGTGAGCTGCAGCCAAATGAAGAACCTGCAAATAAAATCACATGTCCATATGTAGGCACAATATATGAAACAGACTCAAAAACAGAGAAGCACAAAGACTTAACCCATGCCAGAAACTTAAAATGGTGTAGAATTCAACAAAATCACTTGAGATTTTGAGGATTCAATCTTTACAGCAATTAAGATGCAGGATTTTCAGATAAGCAAAAAATTTCATATTGTTCATGCTAAGCATTAGTCTGTATTTTTTTTTTTCCACATTTTGTCTGAATTGCAACAGAGCCAAACAGTTTTTAAAATATATCCTACGAAATAGCAGGCAGCATATTCATTCTGAGATCAAATTGTGGAATATCTCTGAGTCTTGGGGCCTTCCACATCTGCTTGAGATTGAGGTGCTTGTCAGCTGGAAAGCCCAAGGATGTCAGGGTGCTTCCCCTAAGGCAGCCCCTCCCAGAGCTATTCAAGCTGGCAGTCTGTCCTGGGAATTCAGGATCGCAGTCCTGGCCCCACTACAGGGACCTGGGAACCCCTGTAATCTAGCTCAAATCAGGGCTTCCACCTCTGTGGTTAGATACTGAAACCAGGTTTGAACTGGGTCTCCTAGGGCTCATCTCATACTTTCTTACCATGTGCTTCCTTGGTTGTTTCAGCCACAACGTTCAGTGAAAGGGGAGGTGGAATGTAGTGAATCCCTGGCAGAAAACCTGGTGGGATGAACTGAGGCAGAGGAGTATAGTATCCTTGATGGAAATCTCCACCTCCATCTGCAATCTGTGGAAACACATGGAGCAATGAATCTTCTGTCTAAAGACTCTTTCCAGGATACACCTGCAGCATCAAACAACTTCTGTTTTGCTTTTTACCTGTGAATATGACATTTTTTTGTCCACTTTGGGGAAATGCCCATGCATCTATTAGCATGTGCATAAACTGTGCATCGTATAACATTCTGAAACTGGGAAGCAGCAGCTTCTCAGACCAGGTCTCAGCTGAAACTGACTTTTTAAGTCATCTCCACCAATTATGACATCTCACTAAAGTAGCTGGTTTAAACCAGAAGCAGCTCACCTTCTCCACTGACCCAGTGGACTTGCCACTGAACAAATCTACAAGTCTTCATGCTAGAGAGAGGCAGCCTAGCAAAATGTTCCTTGCATTTGGATTCTCCCCTGATCCCAGTGAAGGGAGTGACTCTACCTACACCAAGGGGCTGGTGTGCACCACAGGGTGCCCCACAGCCCTGGTCTTCTGTGATCACCAGGCCTGTTAGAGCACAACAAAACTCATTCCATGTGCAAGGTGGTATGTCCACCCCTGAGAAACATTAGCATCAGAGAAACAGGAGCATCTTCTCTTGGATCTGGCCATGCACCCTGGTACACATAGAACATGTATGAGATCTTTCCATCTGTCTCCAAACAGTTAAACATTGACTTCAAACCCACATACAGTGACAGTCTAGACAAGGCATTGCCCAGCTTGTGCATATCCAGCCCACCAGAATAGTTTATCTGGACCTCAAATTGCTGCTAGCCACCCTCTTTCTCTATAATCCATTAATAGGACGTGGAATTTCTACGCAAGCATAATAAATCTAGCAGTGTTGAGGCAGATCCCTCTACCTTAATATGAACTGCTGAACTGTACTCACTGCAGACAGAATGGCACATGGCAGCTGGAAATTTGATGGCATGCCCAACTGTGGTACAAAAACTAGATATTACCAGTTTAAACCAGCATGACTGACAGCAGGGAGAGGAACTGGAAGTGTCCACACACCCCATTACAACTGACAGGCAATTTAGCATCTTCTTTTCTTACCATGTCTCTGTGTTTGAAGGTGTGGGCCCTATATCACTAAACAATATTATTTATCTGAAATTTTTATTAGCCACAACAATTTTACATTGTTTCTTAGAAACCAAATGTCTCAAACCCAAAATATCTGACTACGCTCATTTGCTTCCTTGTGGAAGCTGATTTTGCCCTGTTCTTCTCTGCAGTTGTGGTGCCTTGGCCAAGCCCTGACACTCTCCCTCCCCATTAGATTTGTCCTGCATAGAAGAAGAGGGACCTCCCAGCGTGCATTCTGTGCCAACATGACCATATTAAGCACCCAACTGCCATAGTTCCAAAAGGCTGTTGCAGATGTTAGCAGTCGGTATAAGCTCCAAAAACAATTCACAAAATCTGTCCCCTTACAACTGCAGGGGTTGCTCTTTTGGGTTCAGGCCAGATATTAACACCATCATTTCCTTTTGTTTTCTTCAGCACAATGTATCAAAATGCTGTGAAGTAATTGATAAGCAAGAGAACTGTTCATGGGTACTTGAACAGCAAGAACGCAGCTGAAAGTAAAAAGAGCAGTTATTTCCAGAGGTAATTAAAAGACTGCTACTTACTGACACAGAAGCTGCATTCCCTGGCCCATAGTTGCTAGGAATGTGTCGGGAACCTCTCTGAAGTGATAGCCCTGGAGGCGACTCATTGATGGCAAATCCCATGGGAAATGGGTGGTAAGGATATACCCCAGAACACCCAGGGTATGCCTTAGGAGGTTCTCTCTCCAGGTATTCTGGCTTGACCATGTATTCTGGAGGAAAAGCAGGGTGAGCTAGGAAACAATGAGAAAAGAACATATAAAAGTTTCCATATGACTCTATAGAGCTCAGCAGAAGTAGCTGCAGGACCAAATTCCACACTCAGGCAGGAGTATCTGGCCCTTCGGTTCCCTGGGAGGCCTGACAGGCACGTGTACAGCTAGTGTCATCCATAAACATGATTTTCTTAGGAAACAAAGGTTAAAAAAATGGGAGCAGATATTGACAGATTAGGTGGGAACTAGAGATGTCTGAAATGAGTCTTTCCTCTGGGCTTCTCAGAGAAGCATTTTGTTTTGCAGACTGCCAACTCTCCAGAGGTTCAGACTAATGACTACTGCAGTCAGTAGGGATTTCCATAAAATTACAATAGTAAATAGTGAGAGTATGAAGTTACTGTAATAAATAGCAATAAACTAGACAAGTCACATGAAAGACACTATTAAAGGAAGCAATTTAAGAGGTGACAGATCATACAGCTGTTCCACCTGCAAAATCTATGCTCTGATCTTAAACACCAAATGTACTTTTACATCAAGTGATCCTAGCCAAGTTCAGTCTTTACTACAGGAATTAAGGCCAAAAGGTCTCTTTCACGGTGCCATCATAAAAGGCTTGCTTCAGGCAACTGCAGCAGTAACTTCTCCCTTTACTTGCGCCCGAGTCGTTCAGCGTTTTTGTTGCTGGAGGCTTGTGCCTGTGAATTTCTAAACAGCGAGACAGCACTTAGGGGAACACGCAGGAGCATCTGCAGTGCACAGTGCAGCACAGGTTGGTTTCCCTCCCAGAATAATTCCCCTTTCAGAGGAAAGGAAAAAGCTTGAAAAAATCTTTGCTAAAGCCCCAGTGCTGTGACGAGTGCGCGGCTGAGCGCATTGCTCCTGCCGCTGCAGAGCTGCGGGACCCACGTGCAGACCCCGCAGGAGGGAAGATAAATGCCGGGCTGCACGTTCAGCATGCGAACCTGTGTCCACTGAGGAGTGGGCGAGGCAGCAGGAGTGCCTCTCCCCGGAGCTGGAGCCTGAGGAACCAGCCGGTGCATGCTGCACAAGTGGCAGCAGAGGAAGCGCACGCAGGAAGATGGTGGGGCAGGGGAAGAGGCTGTGGGCACAGTCCTTACCGTAGTCCAGGAAGGGCAGGCCGCCGGGAGGCGATGGGGGGGGCGGTCCCCTGCACGCCATGCCCTTGCCTTTCCC